AGGCTTCAAGCTTTGTGGATAATATGGTCATATCATCATATAGTCTCTGTTGCAGTGATTCAACTCTGTTATCTGTTGTCATGCATGAGCAGCCATATACAAATCGCAAACAAATGAGTGTAGCTGTGTTCTAATAAAACTTTATTTACAAAAACAGGCAGCTGGCTGGATTTGATCCACAGGCCATAGTTTGCTGGCTCTTGTTTTAAGCATGTTGAGAAACGATTAAAAGCGTTTGGAAAGAGGAGTGCTGAAAGCAAATTTGAAAAATTCTCCCACGCTGGAGAATGGATTGTAGGGTGGGGACAATGACAGAAGGATGGAGAGCCCTCAGAAGGCTGCTGTAGTGTCCAGGAGGGAGACGACAATGGCCCTAGACAGATGATGATAACAGATACGGGGAAATTAGATACATTAAAAATGCATGCCGAGGTGGAAATTAGAGGGTGCAGAAGGGTTGGATGTGGGTGATGCACAGTTGCAAAGTGGTGGGTGCCAGTGACTGGGCGCAGGATGATGTCATCTGCCTAGATAGGCAAGGCTTGAGCATGGGTGGGTGACCAGAAGATGGGACTGAGAATTCTTCTATGTGTCAGAAAAAGCGTCAATACTGGAGATTCCTAGCAAAGTGAATGAATGGCCAAATGTCACTGGCTCTTGGTGGAGCCAATGACATTTCTGAGGTCAGACAGTGATTGGCAGTGAACCCCCAAGCTGGGACCCAGTCTGCAAAGCTTGTTCCCCTAGAAAGCATAGTTGCTCTTCAGTTGCTATCTGTCACCCAACTCCTTAAAAGAAAAAAAAAAAAAAGGAGAAAAACCTCCCCGGAGGATTTGTACGCAAGTGTGATGACTTGAGCGATAATTCGCCTCCACAAGGGCTGACGGGTATCTGGCTTAGCCCTGAATAGGGTCTTCAGTTTTTTGAAGCTTAAAAGAAAAAGAACGTTGAGCTCTGGGGCTTTAACATCACAAGGAAATAAAGTCCCTCACAGAATTAGAGGATCAGATAAGTTGAGACAAAAATAGAATTGCATAAAGTAAAAATGTCTATCTGAAATTTTTCCCCTAACTGTTGGAAACAAGAAATAACGGGTTGTGCTGGCAACTCTTATTCTGATGAATAGCGTCTGCCCGCTCATTCGGATTCCACGAGGCTCCTGATGAGAGAGAGGTGATTTGGGCGGGTGAAGAGGAATCTCCAAAACATGATTTTCCCTCTCCAGCCTCCAGAATAGATGCTCACTGGATAACCACAGAAAAGCCCCGGCTTCGTGCAGAAGAGATTCTGACCGTGTAGGGCATGTCTGATAAATACCCAAAACAAAAGGAATTGTTTTGTTGTGTCTCTGGCAGCTTTGTTCCTTGGCTGCCAACTTCTTTCTTGCATTTTCCAGTCTTAGAAACAAAAAGGCTGGATAATGCTAGGATGGATAATGCATGCTGGCCTTTCATGCCCAAGTGCCAGCCTCCTTAATGACAGCAGAAAGGAGGCATGGAGAAGCATACATTCTGGGGTTAACAGACTGGGTTCAAATCCCACCTCTGACCCTGAGCAAGCATCTGTGCCTCTCAAAGCCTCAGCCTTCTCAACCTGACAATGGGGGTGATAATGGTAGGCACTCAGAAGATTGCTATGAGAATTCAATGAGATGAGCAAGGACACATTGCAGGTGCCAAATAAATGACCACCTTAATAATTCTTTTTCTCAGATCTAATAATCCGAAACAAAGATGGAAAGAATTGGGAAATAACATTTACAAAGAACTTGTAATGTGGTAGCCACTTCAAAAAACATATTTCAGGGGCTTGGCATGGTGGCTCACACCTGTAATTCCAGCACTTTGGCAAGCGGAGGTGGGAGGATTGCTTGAGGTCAGGAGTTACAGAGCAGCCCAGGAAACATAGCGAGACCCCATCTCTACAAAAAAAAATTACAACATTAGCTGGGCATTGTGGAGTGTGCCTATGGTCCCAGCTATTTGGGAGACTGAGGCAAAAGGATCATTTGAGCCCAGGAGTTTAAGGCTACAGTGAGTTCTGATTGCATCACTGTGCTCCAGCCTAGGCAACAGAGTGAGACCCCTGTCTCTTAAAAAACGATGTACCAGGGATGAAGCCGACTTGATGGTGGTGGATAAGCTTTTTGATGAGGATTTTCACATCGATGTTCATCAGGGATGATGGCCTGAAATTTCCTTTTTTTGTTGTGTCTCTGCCAGATTTTGGTATCAGGATGATGCTGACCTCATAAAACGAATTAGGGAGGAGGCTCTTTTTTTATTGTTTGGAATAGTTTCAGAAAGAATGATACCAGCTCCACTTTGTACCTCTGGTAGAATTTGGCTGTGAATCCGTCTGGTCCTGGGCTTTTTTTGGTTGGTAGGCTATTAATTACTGCCTCAATTTCAGACTTTCTTATTGGTCTACTCAGGGATTTGAATTCTTCCTGGCAAGGCTGGTTCAACATACGCAAAGCAATAAATGTAATCCATCACATAAACAGAACCAATCACAAAAACCACATGAGTATCTCAATGGATGCAGAAAAGACCTTCGATAAAATTCAACACTCCTTCATGCTAAAAACTCCCAATAAACTAGGTATTGATGGAACGTATCTCATAATAATAAGAGCTATTTATGACAAACCCACAGCCAATATAATATTGAATGGGCAGAAGTTGCAAGCATTCCCTTTGAAAACCAGCACAAGACAAGGATGCCCTCTCTAACCACTCCTATTCAACGTAGTATTGGAAGTTCTGGCCAGGGCAATCAGGCAAGAGAAAGAAATAAAGGGTATTCAAACAGGAAGACAGGAAGTCAAATTGTCTCTATTTGCAGATGACATGATCATATATTTAGAAAACCCCATCATCTTAGCCCAAAATCTCCTTAAGCTGATAAGCAACTTCAGCAAAGTCTCAGGATACAAAATCAACATGCAAAAATCACAAGCATTTCTGTACACCAATAATAGACAAACAGAGAGCCAAATCATGAGTGAACTCCCATTCACCATTGCTACAAAGAGAATAAAATACCTAGGAATACAACTTACAAGGGATGTGAAGGACGTCTTCAAGGAGAACTACAAACCACTGCTCAAAGAAATAAGAGAGGACACACACAAATAGAAAAACATTCCATGCTCATGGATAGAAAGAATCAATATCATAAAAATGGCCATACTGCCCAAAGTAATTTATAGATTCAATGCTATCCCCATCAAGCTACCATTGATTTCTTCAAAGAATTGGAAAAAACTACTTTAAAATTTATGTGGAACCAAAAAAGAGCCCGTATAGCCAAGACAATCTTAAGCAAAAAGAACGAAGCTGGAGGCATCATGCTACTTGACTTCAAACTATACTATAAGGCTACAGTAACCAAAACAGCATGGTACTGGTACCAAAACAAATATATAGATCAATGGAACAGAACAGAGGGCTCAGAAATAACGCCACATATCTACAACCATCTGATCTTTGACACACTTGACAAAAACAATCAATGGGGAAAGGATTCCCTATTTAATAAATGGTGTTGGGAAAACTGGCTAGCCATATGCAGAAAACTGAAACTGGACCCCTTCCTTACACCTTATACAAAAGTTAACTTGAGATGGATTAAAGACTTAAACGTAAGCCCTAAAACCATTAAAACCCTAGAAGAAAACCTAGGCAATATCATTCAGGACATAAGGATGGGCAAAGACTTCATGACTAAAACACCAAAAGCAATGGCAACAAAAGTCAAAATTGACAAATGGGATCTAACTAAACTAAAGAGCTTCTGCACAGCAAAAGAAACTATCATCAGAGTGAACAGGCAACTTACAGAATGGGAGAAAAATTTTGCAATCTATCCGTCTGACAAAGGGCTACAAAAGAACTTAAAATCTACAAAGAACTTAAACAAATTTACAAGAAAAAAACAACCCCATCAAAAAGTGAGCAAAGAATAAGAACAATCACTTCTGAAAAGAAGACATTTATGAGGCCAACAAACACATGAAAAAATGCTCATTATCACTGGTCATTAGAGAAATGCACAGCAAAACCACAATGAGATGCCATCTCACACCAGTTAGAATGGTGATCATTAAAAAGTCAGGAAACAACAGATGCTGGAGAGGATGTGGAGAAATAGGAACACTTTTACACTCTTGGTGGGAGTATAAATTAGTTCAACCATTTGGAAGACAGTGTGGCGATTCCTCAAGGATCTAGAACCAGAAATACCATTTGACTAGACAATCCCATTACTGGGTATATACCCAAAGGATTATAAATCATTCTACTATAAAGACACATGCACACGTATGTTTACTGCAGCACTATTCACAATAGCAAAGACTTGGAACCATCCAAATGCCCATCAATGATAGACTGGATAAAGAAAATGTGGCACATATATACCATGGAATACAACATAGTCATATAAAAGGATGAGTTCATGTCCCTTGTAGGGACATGGATGAAGCTGGAAACCATCATTCTCAGCAAATTAACACAGGAACAGAAAACCAAACACTGCATGTTCTCACTCATAAGTGGGAATTGAACAATGAGAACACATGGACACAGGGATGGGAACATCACATACCAGGGCCTGTCGGGGGTGAGGGGTTAGGGGAGGGATAGCATTAGGAGAAATAGCTAATGTAGTTGACGAGTTGATGGGTGCAGCAAACCACCATGACATGTGTATACCTATGTAACAAACCTACACATTCAGCACATGTATCCAAGAACTTAAAGTATAATTAAAAAAACAAAAACAAACAAACAAAAAAACGACGTCATAAGCTTCTCATATAAATATCCTATGAGATGAGTGTGTAAAAAGGACAGAATGAGACAAAGATTTCCAGGTCCTGTCTAGGACTATAAACCCAAAACATAACAGGTAAAACCCAGCATATACCGAGTTGTTCAAACTGAAAATATCTTCCAGATTAGGTGTCAGCAAATTAACGGCCAAATCCAGCCTGCTGCGTGTTTTTGTAAGTTTTTATTGAAACACAGTCACTCCCATTCATTTGCATGTTGTCTGTGGCTTTCGGGCTACAGCACTAGAGTTAAGTAGCTTTGACTAAGACCCTCTGGCCTGAAAAACTGAAAATATTTATGAACTGACCCTAATTTGCAGATAGTTTTCGGATCCCTGGTCTAGAGTAATAACAGTAATGATCCCACTACCTGTTGAAGGCTTACAGGTGCCGAGCACAGTGCAGACCCTGTTAGATGCTCTCCCAGCAGTCCCAAGAAGCAGGCACTATTTTTTTTGTTGTTGTTACGTAAGAAAGTGGCAGTCTTTTATTGCAAATATGCACACACTCTCGGGCGAAGTTCTCTGGTCCTCAGGTGTGGGGGGCCAGGGAAGTCGCGCCGGCGCTCTCGGGTGATGTTCTCCGGTCCACAAATGCGGGGGCCGAAGAAGTCACGCTGGCTCCGAAGCAGGCACTATTATTACTCCCCCTTAGGGATGTGGAAGCCGAGGCACAGGGAGGTGAAGAGGGATGGAGGCAGGAAACCACACAAAGGCAAGATTTGCACCCAGTTCCATTCTGGCTCTTCCACTTTACCCTTTTGCAGGAGGAAGACACAGATTTAGGGTCTGGTCTCGACCACATGAAAAGGGCTAAACTGTTATTCTCAGCTTTGCCACTCATTAGAATCATCTAGGGAGCTTTAAAAACGAGGGTCCCTTCCTTTCCCACAACCGGAGAGTTTGACTTAATTGGTCTGGTCTGGGGTAAATATTTTTTACAGGTCCTCAGGTGATAGTAACATGCAGCAAAAGATGAGATCCACTGGGCTAAAGAAAGGAAACAACCAGGGTCCCAAACCCCAGCATGACGGAGAGACCACTGAGCTCAGGACCCTTCCACATGGGTACTGTTGAACATTCACAGTCAGCCCCCTGATGGTGGCTGGTGTCATCGAGGTAGGGAAGGATGCACCAGTCCTGAGTGAGGTCCCATAACATCTCCCTCCCCTGATGAAGTGGCCCCAAGGCACACAAGCCAGCCTTGTGTGGGGTAGGTTTAATGAGTATTAGGGCACCCCTAAAGAACTGTGGGGGAAAAAAATCACTGTTTTAATTTTAGCCCAGCAGAATTCACCAACATGCTCTCCTATAGGGATCAAGAAACTCATTTCTCTTTGGAAACAATGACATTAACAGAGAAGGTATACTAAATGCCCTCTGTCATTCTTGATCTTATTTAATCCTTGAAGCAACTCTATGATGGGGGTTCCATCATTAGCCATGTTTTACAGATGAAGAAACTGAGGCCCAGAGAACGGAGGCAACGTGCCCAATTCTTCCATTTTTAAATGACACCTCAAGGCTGGAACGTGGGTCTCCAGGCTCCCAGCCCCAGGAACATTCTTAGCACGGGAGGCGTCTCTGAAATGCCTCATGCATTGTCTTCATGGCTCGGGAAGAGCTTTGTTCTGGGAATGTGTGCTGAAAAATAACAGAACAGGGCATTTCTTTCCCCCTTTATCGAGGCCCTCAGTGTTCTCCAGAGAGAACTAAGTGATCAGGAAAAGGTTACTCTGCAGCAGGATCCCCTCGCTGCCATAGGTCTAATAAAACAAAACCCCCGCCAAATTAGGGGCATATTTCATCTAATGGGAGGAAATATATGTGGCATTTCTGCCTAGCGGTTGACTGGCCGCATTTATGCGCAGAGAGAGGGTTCAATACATCACAGGGCAGTTATGCGCCGCTTAAGTGGCCTCTCGGGCGGGGGGTGGGGGGGGCGGGGGACGAGAAGAAAAATCTCACGCCCTGGTCCCTGTCTTCTTGCATTTCCACTGCCTCACTCTGGCTCCAGAACTTCTAAGGAGTATCTCGAGGTTTGGGCTCAGCAGAAAGACCCCCGGCAATTCCATAACCTGGATTAGTTCCCCAATGAGCTGCTCACTAGTTCTGTACCTTTGGATGGACCACAGCTCCTCTCTGAGCCTCAGCTTCCTCATCTGTGAATGAAGAGGTTGAGGATCAGTGTCTTCAAACTGGACTCAGCAAGGATGTAGAATTTAGGGGAGAGGGCTGATTTCTGAGACCACCTTGAGGAGCAAATAATACCTAAGAGTTGAAGCCTGGAGTCTTCCGTCCACTAGAATCCTGCTTGTGTCTGTATAACTCAGGGGTGTCCAAACTATTTGAACTCACACCCTAAAAAATACAAACATATGCACAAATACATGTAAACATACCTATATATCAAATACACATGCTTATAAATCGCGACCATGCACTACTGTATTCATAGATTAAGTACCATATAAAACAGACACAAAGATGAAGTTTTTAAAGGAAAAGCTAAACTACATCCAGAAGTTCTATTAACACTATTATTATTATTATTATTATTTTTGAGATGAAGTTTTACTCTTGTCGCCCAGGCTGGAGTACAATGGTGGGATCTCAGCTCATTGCAACCTCTGCCTCCTGGGTTCAAGCAATTCTCCTGCCTCAGCCTCCCAAGTAGCTGGGACTACAGGCACCTGCCACCATAACCAGCTAATTTTTGTATTTTTAGTAGAGATGGGGTTTCACCGTGTTGGGCAGGCTGGTCTCGAACTCCTGACCTCAGATGATCTGCCCACCTCGGCCTCCTAAAGTGTTGGGATTACAGGCGTGAGCCACTGCGCCCAGCCAAGTTCTATTAAGATTCTAGCACCACCTCCCACCCCTGAGACACCCAATTTCCTTTATCCTCCTCTACTTGTTTCTTTCCCATAGAACTGTCACCTTCCAACATATCCTATAGCTTGTTATTTATAACTTTTGCATTCCATGGGGCCATGAAACCAGGCTGGAGGGAAGGGAAGACCAGGTACTGAACCTCTACAACTACAGGTTCCTCCTCTTAACCCGTGTACTTCCACAGAAGTGGGTCTCAAACAAGTTCCTGTAAAACTGGGAAACCAATTTGAATGCATTAAGAGAATGTGCTGGGAGCCATTTGGGGAATAATCTGGAGACATTAACTCAGAAGTAGATTCTGTCCAAAGCTGTATATGGGTAATTGCATTGATCTTACAAAAGGAGCTCTAGAGCTCTGGAGTCTACATTTAATGAGACAGAGAGAATGTGCTAGCCACACCTATTAGGTGCAGTCACATCTGCTGTCTTATTTAATCCTCACAACTACTCGAGGAAGTGGGTCCTGTTAATATTCCCATTTTAGAGAGAAGAAAACTGAGGCGAGTCACTTAGCCCAGTAGTGCAAATTCAAACCCATACCTGTCCAGTTCCATGCCATTTCCCTGTTGCAACATCTCTCAGCTGACACACGCGAGGCCCAGCGGCTGTGTTGGGAGCTGGGAGGGTCTGTGTGTGTGGGAGGCTGACATGTTATCGTCTGGGCTTCTGGGCTTGGGCGTTGGCTGGGGTTCAGGCTCTGTGTCGGCTGCAGCTGGAGGAGGAAGAGCCCACTGATTTAGGGCCCATCTGGATGGACAGCCGACTGGAACCAGGCTGCTCCGGACGCTTGGGGAGGGTGATAAGCATGGCCCCTGGGTGCCCCTGAATTCCTGGCCAGTGACGCTTCAGGGCAGGCAGCTGCGGGGAATGCCTCGGTCGGTTTTCCTCTCCCCGAAGCCCTCCCTGCTGGCTGTGGCCTCCCGAGGACCCCAGGAATCCACAGTGACGCTTTGCTCCGGAGAGCGCTGACCTCACCCCACCCAGGCTACAAAGGCTACGGACCTGGAGGATGGGCTGGGGAGTGGGGGAGCTGCTCATCAGAGACAACCTGAGCTTAGGGACACGGCCTCCTGCCCAGGAGTATGGAACAACATCTCTGCACCCCTGCAGAGACGTTTCCTAGCCACCTTCTGCTTGTTTCATGAAAGACAGGGCCACTCCCAACTTTATTCTGCTCTCTATGCTGCACAAAGCCTTTCTCAAACCCTCATCTGACTATATCCCTTCTGTGCCTACAGCCTTCCGTGGCTCCCTGCTGCCCTCAAGTTAAGTCCAAACCCTTTTCTCCTTTTGGCTGGAAGATCTGGCCCCTGTTGACCTCCATGGCTCCTTCTTCTATGACCTTCCAACCCCCACTTCTTTCAGGACCCCCTCCCCCACGATCTTCAGTACTATAAAACCACATTCTGGTCCTCCAGCACTCCTGTGGTCTGTCCACCACTAGGCTTTTACACGTGCTGATCCCACCACTCCCAGTCCTGTTCCTCTCACCTTCTTCTGAGTCCACCTATCCTCCGAGAAGCGTACCCGGCCCACATCCTACCCCCTGCTGGCTCTGGGGCCTCCTGGGGGAGGCTCCCTCAGCAGCCCTGATCACTCTGGGTGGAACTGTCAGTTTCCCCATCCATTGCCCCACTAGACTGGGGCAGGGTGGCGCATGGGACAGGGATGATGCCTGCCTGCTTCTTCACTATTTCACCCTCAGTGCCTAGCATAGGGTCTGGCACACAGTGGGTGTCCAATAAATACCCTGTGGTTGGCAATGTGTGGCACAGACCTCGTCTATGGTGACAACTCCAGTTTGTAGCACACCCTTGCCCCAGTGATAGAAGTAGCAGTAGCCATAGTAACCATCACTTATAGTGAGCTCTGGGGTGTGCTGGCATTTTTCCAGCACTTTAAATAGTCACTACTTTCATTTCCACCTTATGAGGCAAGTACTATTATTAGTCCCAGTTTACAGATGAGGAAAGTAAAGCCCAGAGAGGGTAAGTGACTTGTTTAAGGTCACACAGCTGTCAAAACACAGATACAGGCAGGCAGATTCCAGAGCCCCTGCTATCACCACTCACAACAAGACCAAGGATCTGGGACAAGCTCTTGGTGATGAAAAGACATGACACTGAGGCTAGACTGCATTGAACAAGCTAAGTATCAGGAATCTGGCAGAGAGTCTACCTCTGTGCCCAGTTTGGGTGGCTGCCAGAATAGTAGACTGGAGTGTGATGACTGATCACCCACCACGGCCCCAGGCTGTGAGATCCCCTAAGGGTCTACCTGCCCTGTGAGTGCTTAGCTAATGGCCTGGCCACACTGGGAGAAGCTTGACTCCATCCTCAGTGGGAAAGCCACGTGGATAACAGGTAAAAGGTTGGCCTCTGGTTCAAACTCCAGCTTTGCCACCAACTTGCTCTCTTCATCCATTTTGTGCTGCTATAATCAAATACCCCAGACTGGGTAATTTATTAAGAAAAGAAATCGATTTCTCACACTTCTGGAGTCTGGGAATTGTCCCACTTCTCACTACTGTCACAATGGCCACTAAATTTCAACATGAGTTTTGGAGAGGACATTCAAACCATAGCACTTGTTGCGTGACCTTGGACAAGTTATTTAACCTCTCTGAGCCTCAGAGTCTTCCGCTGTCAGTGGAGATACTAAAAGTGTCCTAGTGGGGTTTGGGGGAGGATTAAATGAGCTAATCCTTATGCTAATCCAGAGTTCGCCTTTTTGTGTGTGCTAGAAATGGCTAAGTTGTCATTTTTTAAATGTTTGTCCTCTGCCCTCTCAAGGGCTGGTCATATCACATATTCCAATGACTCTCTGGGCAGGTGGACTTCTATTTCTCCTAGGAAGACAAACACATGGGTGCATGGGTCTGCAACCCAACCCTGTCCCATCTCGCTGTTTGACCTTTTCCCAGTAGCTTGCAGTCTCTGGGTCATAGTTACCTTAACTCTACAAGGAGAAGGGAGCCAATGGTCTCCGAGGGTCCTCCTAGCTCTGAGATGAACCCCTGACTGTCCCATCAGGACCACATGATCTCTAAGGCAGAGAGGTGATGGTCTCCGTGGAGATGGCTCAGATCTGGGCCCTGTGTAGGAAGAGGGAGGCACCAGGAGCAGGGATTGGCAAGGCTCCCTCGTCTGTCAAGGTCTTGGGCACTTTTGGTTTCAGCCGGCACTGAGCCAAGGCTAGGGGCAGACAGCCCAGGGCTCCAGCTGCCTCCTGCCTGCTGCCCTGTGCTTGGCTTTATGAGGCCTGTCCGGCTCCCTCCGGGGCTCATTAGCTGGGCAGCCAGCTGGGGCCCAGGCAGCTCTGTTCCCACCAAGTCCTGTGGGAAAGTGCCACTCAGCACCTTCTCCACCCCAGGAGGGACAGTGCCATTAAACCTGTCCCTTCCCAAGGGTAGGGGGTCAGGCAGGCCTGGGAGGGGCCCTGGGAAAGGCTGCGTGTCCCCAGCCTGTTTCTTATTCCTCTAACCTTTCTCCTGTCAGCTCCGCTTTTCCGACAGCATGAGACCGGGCACGGGGCCACACAGACCGGGGCGCATTCTTGGCTCGGCCACTGGCAAGCTGCAGCTCCCTGAACAAGTGCCGGCCCCTCTCTAAGCCCCAGGTCCCTCATCTGTAAAATGGGCATCATAGTTCCTAGCCTGGAGGTTGCCTGGAGGGTTGAAAAGACATCACAGTGAAGGCACACAGGTTTACATGGGGACTGGCATATTGAGTATGCTGGACAGAAGGCCCTTCTTCCTCCTCCGCTTCTTTTTGGCTTCTCTCTTCGTTCTTGCCTCATTATTCCAGGTCCCTACAACCACTGATCTTCCTTCCCTGAGAGCAGAGGGATCAGCGTCTGCTTGCTTTGGCCTAGAAAAGTTCTCCTTCACCTTCCTCTGGGTTTTTACTTCCCTTCCTATTTCTCTCTCTCTCTCTCTCTGTTTGTTTGTTAATCTCTTAACAATCTATCCAACATTGGTTTTATCCTTCTTTTCTTGATATGTTGGTGAATTCATAGCTTCTAGTTACTTAGGGAATTTTTCCTTCTGTTGCAGCACACCCCCTGTACACACACACACACACACACAATAATGTCTATCACCATGGGGCACTTGACCACTTACTTCCCAGGACCAACAGGCAGTCATCTGGGTGGGAGAAGGGACAGGGACCGTGCTTCTCACAAAAGCAAGACTTTTGCTGTGCTCCCAGGGCTCCATGAACACTGTGTGCGAAGCTGATGTGGTCTGCCATCAGACTGTACCCCACTCCCCAAGGGTAGAAGTCACAGTGTGATTCCTGGGAGGGCATTGCTTCTTGTCTATTACTTCATTCATATATAAATAAGACGTGTTTGCGCTTCCGAGGTGCACCCCCATCCCGAGGAAGAGGGATGCAGACGTGTAGTAGACGCCTTCCACTCGCTTGCAGAACAGCTGGGGAGGACAACACACAGGCACGCAGAGGCAGAGCAGCTTTAGAGCTGGAAAGGAGGGAGGGATCAGCAAAGGTTTCTGGGACAGGGGTGCAAGCTGGGACACGAAACCACCCCAAAGGAAGGAGGGGGGCAAATGTGGCAGCACAGGTAATGCCAGGGGGCGGGTGGTGCACTGTGTGGCTACGGAGCAGTGTGACGACGGCTGCAGGGCAGGATGTATCCATAGAGGGCCATGAGAGGGACAGAGCAGGTGTCAAGAAGTTATAGGGAGAGCCCAGGAAAGACAATTTGAGGGCGCTCTGGGGAAGACCTGGAAAGCCAGGTTAAGGTTCCTTCCTTTGCAAAAATGTTCCTAAATATCACCCAAATCATTTCACCCTTTCCAGATTCATTGGTCTGTGAAAGTTCTGGCGCAGATGTTTCTTTGGTAAGATCCTGCAGATAGTCACTCCGGCAAGCCATTTTCCTCTGCAAACTAACGCAGGAACAGAAAACCAAACACAGCATGCTCTCACTCATAAGTGGGAGCTGAACAATGCAAACACATGGACGCAGGGAGGGGAACAACGCACTGGGGCCTGTCATGGGTGCGGAGAGGGAGAGCATCAGGAAACACAGCTAATGCGTGCGGGGCTTAATACTTAGGTGATGGGTTGATAGGTGCAGCAAACCACCATGGCACAGGTTTACCTACGTAACAAACCTGCACATCCTACACATGTACCCCAGAACCTAAAATTTATAAAAAAAGAAAAGAAAATTTTAAAAAAAGAAAGCCACTCCAGCGACTCAAGCCTCCATTACCCCACCTGTAAAATGAGAACACTAATAACAATAGTATGTATTCGTGTGAGTTCTCCAGGGAAACAGAATATATCTAGATACGAAGAGATTATTTTAAAGAATTGGCTCACGTGACTATGGAGGCCGGGAAGTCTCAGATCTGTAGTTGGCAAGCTGGGGACCAGGAGAGTCAATGGTGTAGTTCCAGTCCAAGTCCAAGTTCAAAGGCAGGAGAAAACTGATGTCCCAACTGGAAGACAGTGAGGCAGAGAGAAATAATCCTTTCTTACTCAGCCCTTTATTCTATTTAAGCCTCCAGCGGATTGGAAGAAGTCAGTCCACCAATTTGGATGTTGATCTTACCCAGAAACACCCTCACAGACCCAGTGAGAGAAACGTTCCACCAAATATCTGGGCCCTCTGTCGCCCAGTCAATTTGACATATAAAATTAACCATCGTGTAATATGTTCTAAGAAAATTACACAGGACCAGGGAGATGAGCGTTATGTTCCCAGGATTCAGATGCCAAATGGTTCTGCCATTTGAGCATCATGGGGTCTTGGACAGGTCACAGAGGCCAAGGGTTGGCAAACAATGGACCTCAGGCCAAATCTAGCCTGGCTCCTCTTTTTGTAAATAAAGTTTTATTGGGTCACAGCTGCACCCATTCATCTATATATTGTCTGTGACTGCTTTCACACTAAAACAACAGGGTTGAATGGTTGCAACTGAGCCCATATGGGCTGCGATGCCTAAAATATTTACTATCTGCTTCTTTAGAGAAAAGATTTGCCCATTCCTGACTTAGACATACGGTGCCTCAGTTTTCTCATTAGTAAAATGGACACAGCCATAGTACCTTCCTTGTAGAGTCATCGGAAGAACTCAGTGGGGCTGGTGAAGGGCCCGGCACGTGGTGTATGCTCAACAACTGGTGAGGTTGTGGTGGGGCTGTGACTGTATTTTCGGGTGCTGGTGTGCCCACTAGTCACAGTGATCAGATGAAACAATATGAAGGTTTGAGGTTTGCCTCCAGCTCTCTGAGAATGGACCCTGCCAAGGAGGGTGA